CTCACCTTGGTTTTCATTTGCCTAATTTCCTGAGAAACAGCCTCCTTCCCTTAACAGGCCACACCCACTCCCTTTTTCTCTTTATTAATGCTATCCTAGTATACTGTATTTGCAGTGCCTTAGGTTAAGTTTTCAGTATGCTAGCAACCTACTTGGGACTCTCATTTGTTATACAAAAAAAAAAAAAAAAAACTATATTTGCATGATTTAGCTTTCCCTGGGATTTGTCTAGACTCAAACTTCCTTTTCTGATTTTAAAGGTTCTTTTCATTTCTGTGGCAGGAAGTAACAGGACACAGCAACAGAGGAAAGGGGTTTTTACACAGGAAGGACAATTCTTGAATAGGAAGCCAGGTGCGTTAATAACCTGGCAGAGGTAGAAAAGAAAAAGTAATTCTCCCTTATTCATGCTCAGAATCCCCTCCTTTGAGATACAGGACTCTGATCTATCTTCTCTTCTGTAAAGAGAAGGAGCTGAACTCTCTAGGTCTCTTCCTAATAGGATTGATCAATTACATAGGAGCATTTTGGAACTCTTTCCTTACACAATAGTTCATTCTTGTGTTTATATTGTTATGTTAAAGACAAATAGATTGTTAATTTGAAAATTATTTATCCCTCTCCAAAGCAGTTTCTAAAACACTTTAGTCTCTGCTTTGGGCCTGAAGTAAGGCAGAACATTATGATGGAAGGGGATGGCAGTGAAAAGCTGCTCAAGTTATGGCAGCAGGAAACATAGGAAGAGAAAGAGGTTGGGGCCAGGGAAAGATATAGTCCCCAAGTGCATGCCCCTGAGGACCCACTTCTTCCAAGGAGGTTTCACCTTCCAGTTTCTATCACCTCCAATAATGACCACAGCTAGGAAAGCATGAATGAACCAATCCACTGATGAGGTCAGAGCCCTGTGATTCAGTCACTTCTGGATCAGAAGAGTCCCATTTTTGAGCACATTCTTTACTTGCTATAGACATATTATATGCAGCTGATCCATCTTGTATCTTACCATTATATTTCCATTTTTTGATTTTGTAATTATTTCACTCCCCTACCCATGTTTGCTTCATTTTATATGGGCCTGTTACAAATTTATTCTCAAATTCTCCACAGAAAGGTTTATGTTATTGCCCAGCATGGTAGCACACTCCTATAATCCTAGCAGCTCAGGAGGCTGAGGTAGGAGGACTGCAAGTTCAAAGCTGGCCTCAGCAACTTAGTGAGTCCCTGAACAACTCAGCGAGACACTGTCTCAAAATAAAAAATTAAAAATTAGAATTAAAAAGGCTGGAAATATGGCTCAGTTGTTAAGTGACCCTGGGTTCAATCCCTGGTACAAAAAAAAAGTTTGTTTTATTAATATTGTCATTCCATTAGTGAATGACAAATTTCTTTTTTTCCTTGATGATAGCTCCACTAATCCTCTTTCCTGCTCTAGTGTGGATGAGTTGCTCTGCATGGCTATTATCTTGGGCTTTCCTTCATGATTATGAGGATTAATTTAATGTGCCAACTTGGCTGGGCTAAGGGATGCTCAGAGGGCTGGTAAAACATTATTTCTCTGTGTGTTGGCTTCTAGTTTAGCATTTGAATTGGTAAACTGAGTAAAGATCAACTTCATTAATGTGGGTAGGCTCATTCAATCCATGAAGAGCCTGAATGGAAGAAAAAGTGGAAATTTGCTCTTTCTGCTTAAACTAGTATATCCATCTTTTGCCCTGGACTTTGATGCTCCAGGTTCTTACTTGGACTATGACAGAAAATTGGCTTCTCTGGGTCTCAGGTCTTTGGGTTTGAACTAGAAATATACTACCCATCTTTCCTGGGTTTCCAGCTTGCAGACAGCAGATTGTGAGAATTCTCAGCCTCCATAGTCACCTAAACCAATCCTTCATAATAAATCCCTGTGAGTGGGTGTACATGCTAATAACTCTGTTTCTCTGTAGAGCTCTAATACACCAATATCTGTGAAATTATATTAATCTTGTCTATGCTGGATTCTGTTTCCTTGATATAACCTAACTCCTTCTCAGCTAACTTCCTAATTTTGATGGAACACATTTTCTAGTAGCTCTTGAGAAAGTATATATGGAAAGCACAATTTTTTGGATAGAACTTATGTAACAGATAGATATATAGGTAGATAGATTAGATACATAAATGGATGAATAAATTTGGTGGTACTGGGGATCAAACCCAGGTCATTGTATATACTAGACAAGTGCTTTACCACTATGCTATACCTACAGCCCTAAAACATTTTTATTATACCTTCACTTTTCATGTACAATTTGGTTTTATGGGTTTATTTGTGTTTCTCCCCCTCAAAAAAAGATACGTTGAAATCAATCCCTGTACCTCAGAGGGTGAACACATCTGGAAATGGGGCCATTGATGTAACTAATGATGTAATTAATTAAGATTAAGTCATACCGGAGTAGGTCATATCCTTATAAGATGTCCACGGGGAAAGTCAAGGGACAGTGAAAGCAAATATTGGAATAATGTAGCTTCAAGTCAGGGATCATCAAAGATTGCCAGGAATCTACTAGAAAGCTAGGAAAATCCAAAAAAAAATGATTCTTTTACAGCTTTAGAGTATACTACCTTGATTTCTGACTTCTTGCTACCAGAACTTTGAGACAATAAATATCTCTTGTTTTAAGCCAACCAATTTGTCATACTTTATTATGGCTGTCCTAGAAAGCTAATACAGTTGAATATAGAATTAAAGATTGGGAATTATTTTTCCTAAAAATGTAATAGCTGTGTCCTAGCTTCCAGTGCTGTTAATGAGAAATACATGCTATTTGGGTTCCCAATCCTTAGAATGTGATTTTTTTATTGTTTCTACTTATCCCTGGTATTATGAAATGTAATGATGATTATGTGTTAATTACCAGAGACATGGAAAAGACTATACAAAAAGTGCAAAGTAAACAATCCATAATCCCAATTCATGAAAATAGTTCCTGTTCTGACAGAGTAGAAAATCCACATAATTTACAAGGATCATGGGGTAAAAACTTAGAAGGATACTGCCTTAGTAATGAGGTTCAATTAGCCCTCCACTAAAGGCGGAATTTGTACCACCTAGCAAAGATTAAAATTAAGTGTCAAAAGGACAAAACTGTTTTCAAATAAGCAAATTTTATAATGCCTGACATCCTATTAAAAAATTATCAGGTATGCAAGAAGCAAAAAATTGTAAGCCATAATACACAGAAAACTCAATTAACATAAGACAATGTCAGAAACAGCATAGATGGTAGAATTAGTAGAAAAAGACACCAAGGTTATCATTATAATCTTATAGAAGAAGCTATAGGAAAGATTTGGCATGTTAAATAAAGACATGGAAGACACACACACATTCACATCAAGTGACTACAGAGAAAACCACGTCTGAGATGAAAAGTGAAACACGTGGGATTAAAGGAATGTATGATATTGAAAAAGCAAATTAGTAAACACAAAGACATGGGAATTGTCCACAAGGAAACAGAGAAAACTTGAAAAAAACAAAATTAACATAGTGAAAATTAACTTTTGAGACAATGTCACATGGTTAAATATACATGTACCTGACTCCACCAAAGGAGAGCAGAAAGACTAGGAAGGAAAAATATTTGAAGAAATAAGGGTAATGTTTGCATATTTCTTGTTCCACACAGTATTTCTAACAAAGCACCTGGTGGGCATTGGGCATTTAATAAATACTTCTTGAACACATTTGTGGCAGAAAAAATGATAAAATGAATAAGAAATAAGTACATGAGTGTTATTGTAGGGTGTTAGAATCAATAGGGTGTTAGGAGTTGAAACAATATAGAAAAAGGGAAGATTTAGCAGAAGCGACACATCTTGAGCAGGAACCTGGAAAATGAGTTCAGTTGAATGTGTATGATGTTTGGAGAGTAGGTGATGAAAATGGGCATTCCCTATAAGAACACAGAGAAAGAGTTGAAAACTAGGATAAACATGGTTTTGATTATACCATCTTGACTGGAGTCGTGGTTAGCCTTAGGGATAATTAGAAATGAGGTAGCTGGATGAGTTAGGGTCAGAGTACATAAGACTTGAGTAATAGGGAATAGAGAAACCAAWGTTTCTGGTGGTGACATTAAAAGGATTAGAAGAAAGTGTTGAAGTTGAATGCCAAGAGCAGGCCAGAAGCAACCAGATTATTAAAATGATATGGTTATGAAGTTTTTAAAACTTAAATGTGAAAGCATCTAACAACATCAGCACAAACTAAGCACTTGGATAGGTTAGTAGAATACAAACATGGGACAAAAAAGCAATTTTTCTTGGCTCATGAAAATTTCAAAAGTTGCCCTAAATAGTATTATTATATGATATTTCTTTTATATTTACATAAGCTTCTGAATTAGTTTTTTAAGACTGTTACTGTATAGCACACTAAAGCCTTTCTTCCTATCTCACCCAGTTATGGCCCATTTTCTTTGTACTTGCAGATATAAGGGCAAGATTCAAGCTTTGGCTTTTTAAAATTAAAAATTAATGTAAGGCTTCCAGAACCAAGAATTCATAATATCATGTACACACTTAACTGTCACCTAATCTTGGCATTCAGGAATATTAAAAACCTTTGAGATAGGAACTCTTGTCTCACAGATGGAGAAACTGAGGCCAAAAAAGGGTAAGTGAGCAGTCCAGAATCCTGGAAGTAGAATCCACGCAGTGTGACTCATCTACAAAGGGCTCCAAGCGGTGGGAAAGGCGCGAAGCCAGGGCAGGAAGCAGGAGGCAGGGGAAAAGGGTCTTTTCAATCCGGGAGGCCTGGGAATCCGAGATTCTGGGGACCTCAAGAACAACTGTCAACCCCACACTACGAAACGCTACCCCGTAAAATACTTCGCGGAGTGAGAGTTGGTCCTTCCTGATCTCGCGATACCAGTCGATCCTCGCCCTTCCGGCTCTCGCTAGGCTCCGCCTACCGCAGCTTCTCTGTCGTCATTTCCTGTCGTTCTGTATTGCTAAGGGAGAAGATGGCGGCGCTGGGAGAACCTGTACGCCTGGAGAGGGGTGAGTGCGGCCGATGCCCGGACCGAGGCGGGTGGAAGGGATGAGGAAGTGCGGTGTCACTGGAGGGAAGGAGAGGCTGCCCAGGCTCAGACTCGGAACCTGCCTGCCCCTTGCGTGGCGGCCGCCGACGTCGCTGTCATCCGCACGGTGGAGGGCGCTTACGATTTTTTGACTGTTTGCTAGACCCCCTCTGTGTTCACACGCACTGTCCCGGGGCATAGCACAGTTAATTACAATCTGCTCACGTTTGCGGACATACGCCGCACACGCACCCTCTGGGTGGGCACAGCAGATGCGGCGTTCAGGGATCTGTAAACCAGAACAACATATGTCACACACCCTGTTCGGATCGTCTACACTCGTTGTATATACACTTGCACAAACCTAATGGGCTTGCCTTCACCCACATRTCGCACAATACCCGGACACACGGCACATTTTCTCAAGAACTCGCCCTCCTTTCTTCGTTACTTTTACCACAGCCTCCCTTGCATTCGTAATTTGGTATTTCCTAGCTTTGGTACCCCTCCCAGGCAAACAATCCTACTGACTTGATCTTGGAAAGCTTGTTTTGTAACTTATGTAAAGTAGTGGTAGATGATAAAACACTTGGCAGGTGCGATCATATTTTTTTTTTTTTACACACCCTACAATTGCAAACCGTGATTAGTTGATTGCTTCTTGAAGCAAACTGTTAACAAAGATAAAACCTAGTTTGCTGTGTAGTTACAGACCAGGGAATCAGTGAAAATACAAATATTAAGATTTTGTATGCTCCATTGTCTTCTCCAAATCCTTTATTTCAGACAATTCAAACCTGCTTTTGACACACAAGCATTTGAAGGTTTTTTTGTTTTGTTTTGTTTTTTGCTTTTGTTCTGTTTTATTACCATTCTGGGTATTGAACCCAGCTTACTTTACCAGTGAGCTATCTCCCCAGCCCTCCTTATTTTTTATTGAGATAAGGTCTCAGCTCAGGCTGGCCTTAAAATTGAGATCCTCCTGCCTCAGCTTCCCAAGTAGTCAGGACTGTATCACAGGTGTGTATCACTTGCCTGACTTAAAAATTATCAGTCAAGAAGTACCACAAAAAAATTTTAGCATTGTTGGTAAACAGCATAAAATGTAGATTAAAGTTATTTTGCACATATCATTTGAAATTACAATCTCAATATTCTTCTTTAAGAAGAAGATACATTTTTAGAATTGTATTTAGAAAAGCCTCTTTCCTTATCCCTTCCCACAAACAAATGTGCACATATGATTGTTAGTTTGCTCCTTATGGTGTTCCTCATTTGGAAGTCTTTCTTATAAATAAGATTGTTTCTCTACRGTCCACCAGGCCATTTATTGAAGCATAATTTTATAACAGAAGAGTAGCTTCTCTGAGTAGACTTTCTAAGATAGGCTTAAGACAAAGGTGACATCCTCCTGAGCACATTGCCACTGTGCTCTGTAGAAAGGAACAAATCTGTTGGTGCTAACAAGAGTAGGTGTTTTTCTTTTAAAGSTAGTTAGTTGTAGAATTCTAACATGTTGGAAGTCTTGTATTTTTAAATGCAGTACAAGATGTGGAACTTCATCCCCTAGCATTTAGTTTTGGTAGTTGTCTTTGCTTTTTGTTGTTGAATTTTTTTTTTTTTTAAGTTCTTCAGTAGAATCTTCAGCACCTTGGTAGGGATGAATTATAAGGGGTTCTATTCAGCAGCATAGGAAAGTTAAATTATCTCAGAACTCTGTTAACAAATAACTCCCAGTAATCCTACAGTACAGTATCAGTTCATGTAATCAAGATCTTGAGTGCCAGTTGGGCACAGTAGTGTATGTCTGTAATCTCAGCTACTGCAGAGACTGAGTCAGGAGGATCCTAAGTTCAAAGCCGGTTTTGGCAACTTAGTGAGACCCTTTCTCAAAATACAACAAAAAGGGTTGGGGGTGTGGTTTATTGGTAGAGTGTTTGCCTCGAATGTAAGGCTCTATGTTCAATCCCTGGTAATGGCAGTGGGAGGCAATGGGGAGATAGTGCCTTCTAAATCATCAAAACTTAATTGGGGATAGTAGAGGATAGGAAAGGCAGCAGAATACAACAGACATGAGTATATCAATATGTAAAGCAATGAAGTGTAACTGATGTGATTCTGCAAGCTGTATACGGGGTAAAATGGGAGTTCATAACCCGCTTGAATCAAAATGTGAAATATGATATATCAAGAACTATGTATTGTTTTGAACAACCAACATTAAAATAAATAAATAAATAAATAAAAAACTTAATTCACAAAGGTACAAAAACAGGTAAGAAAAAAATCAAACAGACATTGTCATTAATTGTTGAACATGACTTTGAATCTTGTAGAGTTTCTTAATTAATAAAACACATCCCCACACTTCTCAGTGACAATTTACTAACATGCTTAATGGGTTTGTATAAATGTATGCAACCCCTTAATATTTCTTAAGACTGATGCCAGCGTAACATAATATTTATGTTTGTTAAGCCTCTTTAAAGATTTGATTTGGTCATCAAATGCCTTTTATGAAGAAGGTGTATTATTTCCATTTTACATTGAAAGGCACTGAGACACAAGGAGGTTAAGTAATTTGTTCAAGGTCTCACARCTAGTATGAAGAACAGAATTACACAGCTAGTTTTTATTTTTTATTTTTAAAACTATGTATTCGATTGAAATTGTCTGAATTAAAACATTGTGTTAACAATCCTAACTTGAAAACAAATCAGTTAATTTTATTCAGGTTTAAATGTGTCCCAGCCATTAACTCCATCTGTTATTAAATAGTTCATATCTATGCATATATCATGTTTATCTTTAGGAAATGAACAGTGATTTCACTAGCACGTGGTCTGCTATTCAGTGCTTTGGTTACTAATATGATAACTAAGTAAATTTTTATTGACTAAATAAGTCCCAATATTACTACTGGCTTTTCTGAAGCAGTGCAGTTAACATGTCTGTCACATCTGAGCCCCAGTCCTTTCCTGTGACATTTAGTAGTTTATATTCAGTTTGTCTGTCTCTCAATTATTTTTTAAACTATATTTCTGCAACATGAGAAATTTTTAAATCTGTAAAATTTAATGTGCTCAGATTTTACATTCCTGTTCTCAATGTGTACATGAATGATCTCCTCTTTCTCATACAAAAACACAGATGCTTTGTTTTACTCCCTCTATTTTCTGCATACTGTTAGTCCTTGTGGAATTAATCCTAATTCCTACAATGTAACATAGGCATTTCAAGAATCCTTAGAGAAAGTTAACTATCAGTATGTGTTTGTTTAACTTACTCTAGATATTTGTAGAGCAATTGAAWTGTTGGAAAAACTACAAAGGAGTGGAGAGGTACCACCACAGAAACTTCAGGCTTTACAAAGAGTCCTTCAAAGTGAGTTCTGCAATGCTGTAAGAGAGGTGAGTAAATATGATTAAAAGTTAATACATTTAACTTCACAGAGAAATCAAACATGATATATTCCAAGATTTAAAATATAACAACTTTTATGTTTTACAGGTATATGAACATGTCTATGAAACTGTAGATATCAGTAGCAGTCCTGAAGTGAGAGCTAATGCAACTGCAAAGGTAAATTTGTTTATTTACCAAAAATGAGAATTCTTCATAAATTAGAGGTTGAAAATATACAATTATTAGGTTCATAATAAGCTTATTTTAGAAGCTAGCATAATATCTTTCAAATTATACCAAGCTTCCCAAGTGCTAAGAATAGAACATTTTTATTACAATAATTATATACATATGAAATACCTAATTGTGTTATATACAATATATTTACATGTAAAATATCATCAATTTTATAATTGAGGATGAATTTCTCATTGATGAGGAAGTATCAAGATTAGATTATTTGTCTCAAACCACCACACAAATAGTAAATGGTAGAATAGGGTTATTTGATTTGTCCTTTACCCTAGCTCTGCAAATATGGGGTAATGTCAGTAGTAGGCTACCTCTTTAGGACTGAAGATGGAGTTTGTGTGCTTTTCCATACYAGATTTTTCCTCATATTCATTGTATATTACTTGGTTAGATATGTTAATTCGAGTAGTAGATGACATACTAGACTTTTAATCATTGCAGATTATTTTTTATTGAGTTCCTGGTTTCCAAAAGGACAGATTGGATTCTCTATTGAATACAAATACTTAAACTTGTGGATATGGTTTATCAGAGTAGAAAATAGAAATTTATTTTTTATACCTGAGTTGTATAACCTTCACAGCTTATTTAGTTTTTGAGCCTTAGTTCTGTTAGGTAGGAAATGAGAGCTTTTTTGCATCTTCAGATAAGTCTTGATTTTCATCTTACTCCTTGCACTTTTGTTCATGTACCCTGATCCATCATGAAAAAATGGTACCAGATTCCTTGATTAACTTTAAAAACATAATGAAACAGGAAAATCTTAATTTTGTGTTAGAATTCAAAGAGGATATGGCTCTATTAAATCTTCTGTGGGTTTTTTTTTTTTTTTACTTGTAATTTTTTTTTTTACTTGTAATTTTTTTTTTTTACTTGTAATTTTTTACTTGTAATTTTTGTTGCTAGAGCAACAAAAAATATTCATGTTGGCTATAGGAGTGCCTGCTTTTCTTAATATAAAGACAGTTCTTGATGTATTATTTATTTTGTGTATGGTACAAAGAATACAAAGAATATAGCAGCCAAAATGACTAATATATATATATATAAGGACAACTCTGTGTGGGTTGTTATAGGTATGGTGTATTTTACACAAATGTCAGGCTATCTGGCCTTGAAGCTCTGGACTGTTAGTGTATTAGGGTAGAATATTCCTCTTTAATACACGGAATGTTATGTGCCCAGCAAGCCTGCTTGTCAAGCTCTGCACATGGAACTACACAAAAGTTCTAGACAGTGGATGAGAGTGTGCTAAAAAATTCTGTTTCATACATAGTCCTGGAGTATGTATTCTTTTCAGTTACCATTTCTTTTTTGGGAGTTGGGAGTATCAGGGATTGAACTCAGGGGCATTCAACCACTGAGCCACATCCCCATCCCTTTTTTGTATTTTATTTAGAGCCTTGCTGTTGCTGAGGCTGGCTTCGAACTCGAAATCCTCATGTCTCAGCCTCCCCTTACCATTTCTTAAAAACCTCCGCTTAGCTTCTCAGAATAACCAATGAATTTGTGAATACTCATACATCAAAAATGTGCCTCACAATGCAGAATGAATTCTTTAAAAATCATGTTACATGCATTCATAAATATACCACAGGAATTTCATCTTTATGTATAAATAAAAAGAACCAGTCAAATATAAATGAATGGACTAGCCAAAGGAAGTCAAGGAGATTGGGGGGGGGGGAAGGGGGGCTTATGAACTGAATTTGAATTTCATGCAGCATGAGTTCATCAAGATGAATCCATCTACTATTTATAACTGTAAAGCTCTGATTAAGAGAGAGAGAGAGAGAGAGAGWGTGTGTGTGTGTGTGTGTGTGTGTGTGTGTTTATACTCGCCTCAAAAGTAGTTTGATAGATCAGGGATATACCTCAGTGTTAGAGTACATGTTTATTAATGTGTATGAGTCCCTGGGTTTAATCCCCAGCAATGCCAAAAAATAAAACAACAAAGTATTTTTTAAAAAGAGATGAAAGAACTGAAGTAAACAAAAGTCATATATTTTAAATATGTAAAATTTTCTTTCAGGCTACTGTTGCTGCGTTTGCTGCCAGTGAAGGACATTCTCATCCTCGAGTTGTTGAGCTACCCAAAACAGAAGAGGGACTTGGGTTCAATATTATGGGAGGCAAAGAACAAAACTCTCCAATCTATATATCTAGAATAATTCCAGGTGGAATAGCTGATAGGCATGGGGGCCTCAAACGAGGAGATCAACTTCTTTCTGTTAATGGAGTGGTRAGGATGAATTTTATTTATATTTGCAGTAATGTGCTATGACCACTTGGGGGTGCCTGTGGATTGTAGAAACAGAAGATGCCAGTGCAAGGGATTAATAAACTTTGTAGTTTAAGAATGCCTTAAGCGAATGCTAGGCAGTACTGTTTAGGACAGTGGTTGTTTTTTGTTTCTTTCTTTTTAAATGCAGCTCTGGGGATTGAAGGGGGTGGGGGGGGAGTGGCCGGGCTTTGCTCATACTGGTCAAGTGCTTTATCACTGAGCTCTGTCCCCAGCCCAGTGATCTTTATAAGGCACTAGAAAAGTGGTTTGCATCCCTTCAATGTAAATTAACAGTTCTTAGTGGGATTTTTATTACATAATTAAACTCTTCAGTAGTTAAAACAGTATACTAAATTAGAAATGTACCGTCATTTTTACTTTTTATAGAATGGCAGTTGCTTGATTAAATTCTGACATAGTGCAGTAATAAGACATGTATATTGAAATGCTAATTACTTGGAACTTAAAAAATGATTTCGAGACTGTAAGCA